CGTTGTTTGCGAGAGAGGAGGGCCCCACAGCGTTCCTTTCTCGATATGGGAACGCTGTCTGTGGGGCAACCCTGCCTCGCAATCTGCGCATCCTCATCATCAGCATCAGCATCATCATGATCATTATGATTATCATCAGCATCATTAGCATCCCCATAGAACATCGCCACGGTTATCCGCATTATCCTTATCAATATCAGCATCATCGTGTTCATCTGCATCATAATCGTCTCTAGCATCATCACCATCGCCATTACCAACGTCACAATCATCTGCATCATAATCAGCATTATCATCATCATCATCATCATCATCATCATCATCATCATCATCATCATCAGCATCATCATCATCGTCTGCATCATCTGCTTTCCGCTGTCCGTCACCATCCTTCCAACCACCTACTTGCAGCTGATCTCTCCCATTCCTCTCTCATCGCATTTTGTATTCATAATCTTCGTCGCGCCGCGCCGAGGTTCCGGCTCGAGTCAGCTCACATAGGGAACCCTAACAAGGGTACGAAAGTCTACGCGGCGAAGCTAGAGAAAAGCGCAGATCACAAGGTAAAACAACGCCTTGAGCAATTGAGCAAAGACAAATCTGAAAATAACTGGGAATGCCCGTGACTGTCGGTGCTTTTATGGTGCTGACGTTCCAAAATTTGAATCCTGGAGTAGCAGCCTTTACATAAGGATTCCTTTTGTGGCGAACTTACACAAGGATTTCAATTGAGGGGGAGCTGCAGTGGCCTCCACACTTAGAATCCTTGTGTAAAAGCTTGTACAAAGGAGATTCATGCTGTGGCAGCTTTGGAAGCAGGATTTTCACTGTGGGGGGACCTGCAGTGGCGGCACCTCGAGCCCAGGAAAGCTAGAGAGAAGCACAGGGAAAAAAAACAACATGACACAGGAAACAGCTTGTGTGTTTCACATGGATGGAAAATAGGAAACAGCTAGGGAGACATGTGACTCTCGGTACTTAGATGGCACAGACGTTCCACACTCGAAATCTTTGTGCAGCTGCCTGTACAACAGGATTCATGTTGCGGCGGCCTTACACAAGGATTTCAAGTGTGGGGGACCTGCAGTGGCCTCCGCACTTAGAATCCCTATGTACCCCCGTCTACAAAATCATTGTTTTCTGGTGGCCTTACGACATGTTTTGCATTGTGGGGGGATCTGCAGTGGCAGCACCTTGACCAGGAAAGCTAAATCATGACACACAGGGACAAGCTTGTGCATTCAAATGGACAGAATTGCAACGGAGAGCCCCCCTACCGGGAAATCGCTTTCGGTTTCGTGTTCGTGCGTGCCGTGCGTGCGGGCGAGGCGAAGTTGCGTGGGCGGGCGAAAAGAAAGTCTCCTCTGGCTGAGGCGCGGCCGGACCAAATGTTTCCTTTCTGGGGGCTGGTGGGGCGCGGTGTCCCGTCGGCGTCCCGCCTCCGGCTGAGGCGCGGCCGTACCAAATGTTTCTTTTCCGGGGGCCGGTGGGGCGCGGTGTCTCGCCAGTGTCCCGCCGGTGTCCCGTCGGTGTCTCGATGATGATGATGATGATCATGTCGATGATGTTGATGATGGTGATGATGATGGTGATGGTAGTGATGATGATGGTGTCCCGATAATGATGAAGATAATGATGTTGACGATGTTGATGGTGATGGTGGTGATTATGTTGTTCATGATGATAATGAGGTGATGATGATGGTGCTGTTCCGGTGATGATGGTGTCCCGATGATGATGATGATGATGATGATGATGATGATGATAATGTTGATGATCTTGATGATGGTGATGACGAGATGATGATGATGATGATGGTGTCCTGATGATGATGAGGTTGATGATTATGTTGTTGATGATGACGGTGATGTCACGATGATGGTGTTGATGATGATGATGACGATGATGGTGTCCCGATGATGATGATGATCCTGTCGATGATGATGATGAGGTGATGACGATGATTTTGATGATGGTGGCCCGATGATGGTGATGATGATGATGATGGTGATGTTGATGATGATGGTGTCCCCATGATGATGTTGATGGTGATAATGATGATGGTGACGATGATGATGGTGCCCCGATGATGATGTTGATGATGATGTTGTTGATGATGATGACGGTGTCCCCGCGATGATGTTGATGATGTTGTTCATGATGATGATGGGATGATGATGATGTTGGTGTTCCGATGATGATGATGATGGTGTCCCGATGTTGATGATGATGTTGATGATGATGATGTTGACGATGACGGTGTCCCGATGATGATGATGATGGTGGTGATGATGATGTTGATGTTGATGGTGATGAGGTTGTGATGATGGTGGTCTGGTGATGATGATGATGATGATGATGATGTTGATGACGTTGATGACGATCATGTTGTTGATAATGATGACGTTGGTTGTGATATCGATTGTGATATCGATAGTGAGATCGGTAGTGAGACCGAATGTGAGATCGATTGTGAGATCGATAGTGAGATCGATGGTGTTATCGATTGTGAGATCGATAGTCAGATCGATGGTGAGATCCATCGAATGAAATAGATCGAGTGAGATCGATTGTGAGATCGGTCGAGTGAGATCGATCGAGCGAGACCGATAATGTGATCGATTGTGAGATCGATAGTGAGACCTATCGAGTGAGACGTTGGTTCCTCCCCCCCCCAAAAAAAAACACCTTATCACCCGAAGGGTGGTCGTATAGGTGTATATATATATATGGAAGAACCTAGCTTTTTTTATTTCCGCTGTGAAACCACATGTGCTTCAATGTTTGTCATGTTTCTCGTTGGTTTCCTCTTTGGTTTTCCTGGGCTCAAGGTGCCGCCGCTGCAGATGCCCCGACAATGGAAACCCCGTTGTAAGCCCGCCACAAAATTGATTCCCGTTATAAGGGGCTGTTACAAAAAAGAATATTATACATGTGGAGGCCGTTGCAGTTTCCCCTCATTTGACATCCTCGTGTAATGTCGCCACACAAAAATCCTTTTGCACCAGCCTTCTGGAACAGCCTTTTGCAAGGAGGGAGGATGGAGGAGGGAGGTGGAGGAATCGCCGGATGAGGAAGAGGACGAGGAAGAGGAGGAGAAGGAGGAGGAGAAGGAGGAGGAGGAGGGCGAGCAGAAAGACCAGAGGCCCCTTGGATGCCTTTCGGAGTCTATTCGGATGTCTCTTGATAGTTTCTTTGAGGCCTCTTGGTGCGTATTGGGGGCCTCTTGGCGATCGCGGTGGCCTCTTGAAGCTGGATGCCACGGGGGAGCCTTTCGGGACCTTCTGTTGGGGTCTCTTGGGAGCTTGTTGGACCCTTGTTGGGCGCCTCTTGCGGCACCCATGGGAGTCTCAGTGGCCATCTTGGGATCATCTTGGAGGTGATCGATCGAAGACGGGGGGGGGGTCCTTAATCAGCGCCCCCTGGAGGCCAACATTGGCCCGAAACCTAAGTCAAATCATTGATTTGGGCATATTCGCCCAGGCCTGCTCGGACGCTTTAACTGCCCGCCCCCCCCCCCCCCGCCCAGATCCAGGGGGAGGGGGTAGAGGGAAGGGTTAAGACACCCTCTCCGCCCGCAAGCTATCTCGCTCACTCCCACCCGCCTTCCCAACGCATAAATAGCACCCGGGCTTGAGCATGTTCAGCGGTCGTCTATGGATGGGCAGCTATTGGAAACCAACACAGACCCCATGTGCGCGATGCTGAGGCGAGTTGCGCCAGGCGTGCTAGGCGCGCCACGCGCGCCAGGTGCGCCAGGCACCCCTGAGGCCCAAGCGTGCTGGCGCGCCAGATGCGCCGCGTGTTCCACTTGCACCATGTGTGCCGCATGGTCCAGCCGCGCCAGGTGCGCCACTTTCGGGGCATGCGCAGAGTGTACCAGGTACGCCCGCGCACGTGACAGCACACATCGGGAAACATATCGGCCCCCACTATCCTTGTCGAAAACCTATGCACAATCGCGGCACGATGACCATCATGGTGTCTGCTGGGCTTGCGCACAGCAGGTTATATGCCAGCACCCCCACCGTCCTCGTCAGAAACTAATGGACAGTGGTTGCGGGGTGGACGCGCGCGATGAAGATTTAGCCACGAATTACATGTCGTATTACTTTTTGACAGGGGTGGTGGCCTTGCGCGCAGTAGGCAACATGAGCCCCTGCCCGCGACAAATATGCTCGCGGAGCCCACGATCATGACCCAAGATGTTGCCCCAACGTGCATGTTGTATGGTTTTTGGAGAGAGATGATGGGGGGGTGTCATTGGTCCTGGTTGGTTGACGGTCGCTTGGGGGAGGGGGTGTTCACTAATAGGGAACAGTGACAAACCCACCCCAGGAGGGGAAGAGGGGAGATGAAGGAGGGAACACCTTGAGCCACTCACGCCCTAAAGGGTTGGCGGGGTTGCACCGTCGGGGCACTGAAGAAGGAACCCTTTTCGCTGGGGAGGGGCTCCGTGTTCCTTAAGTGTTTCACAGCTTGCCTAAGGCTTTCCTAATGTGTTCGACAGGAAATCGAAGTTTAACTTGTGGAGAAAATGGGCCTTGTTCCTTATTTGGGGTTCCTTAGGTCAATGCCCCGACTGTACCACACGGCACATGATCGCATCACCAACCCGCCCCATCATGATTCAGCAACGGTTCGAAGTTCGATCTGAAAGGGCCCGCGGAGTCAGTTCGTGGCCAGCTCTCCTTGCAAGCCGCGCACGGCCCCCTCAGCGGAGATGAGCGTGGCCAATTCCAATGGATCGTAATGATTGCGACGTTTCCTCATTGTCAAGTTCTTGGCAGTACTCGAACAGCTCTCGCAAACGGGAGAGAAGACTGGCTCGCGCGGCTGGTCCCATTGAGAAGAGACGGCAGGAGGAGAGAGAGAGAGAGAGAGAACACCGGAGGAGAGAGACGGGAGCAGGCAGCACAGAAAAAGGGAGGACGAGGGACGAGGGCGGGGCAGGATGCAGAAGGGAGGCGTTTGCCTGGACCTTCTGGCCAGCCCGCCAGGCGTCGCACCAGCCCGCGTGCCGTGGGCGCACGGGGCCACGGCAGACCGCTTGAGCGCCAGCTGCGGAGGCTCCCGAGCCTCGCTCGGGCAGCTGTTGTTGAGCGGTGTGGCGAGATACAGTCGGGGCCCTGAAGAAGGAACCCTTTTCGTTGGGGAGGGGCTCCGTGTTCCTTACTCCAGATTTCGTAATAAAGGGAGGGGGGTCTCATTTCGGGGGGGTCTCTTCCAGGCTATCTTGGAGGGCCTGGGGGGGTCTGGGATGGATGTTTTGGAGGGTTCTCCCACGGGGGGGGTCTAAAACTTCTCGTCTGGGAGGGTTCAGACCCCCTCCCTTTTATTACGAAATCTGGAGTACGTATTTCGCAGTTTGCATTAGGTTGTCCTTAGGTTTTCGATCGGACATCGAAGTTTAGCTTACGAAAAAAAGGGGCCTCGTTCCTTAGTTAGGGTTCCTTAGGTCAACGCCCCGACTGTAATGTGACGATGGTGGCGGATGGTTGCGCGATTTGGCTTCCAATATCTATGGGCCTTCGGGCCATCCCGCCTTGGTTCAGAGGTCTCTTGGCTCGTCTTTGGGCCCATGTCGGTCCGAATGAATCATGCGGGGAGACGCCCTGGGCGCGCTAGGAGCCCAGGAGTGTTCAAGCAGCTCTCGAAGCGAAGTTCGTCACCCTTCCCTGGATTTTGACTGAATCCCTCCACGTCCAGCGCACTGGAAGCTTCACTTCGGCACAGTCCTTTCCTTGGTAACTTGGATTCCTGGGTCTGTTTAGGACTCCATGAGTTCCCCCCCATCTTCCCCGATATCATGGGGTCCTAACCCTGAATGTGTTCGCGCTAACTTTCCCCACGGATGGTCCTGACGCGGCAGTCGTGGCAGGCAGGGCAGGAGGAGCCACAGCAGGAGGCAGGAGGGAGGGAGGAACCATGCCGAAGGCAAGGGCATGTTCTGATCTCATCGTGCTCCTCAGTTTCCTCATGCTCATCCATCCCTCCTCTTCATTCCTCCTCCTCCTCCTCCTTCATGCCCTGCTCCTGCAGGAGGGCAGGGGTTCACTCGAGTCCCGCTGAAGAGGCCCCTAGCCCACCGCTCCGTGCCCTCACCGCGGGCTGCCTTGGCGTCGGTACTGCATCGCCCTCGGTGCTGCGCTGGTCTCAGTCACGTACCGACCAGGCTCTGATTGGTCAGGAGTGCCCTCTTCTTTCCCCTCCTCCACTCCTCCCTCCTCCTCCTCCGCATCCCTCGTCCTCCTCCCCCTCCTCCTCCTCCTCCTCCTCCTCCTCCTCCTCCTCCTCCTCCTCCTCCTCCTCCTCCTCCTCCTCCTCTCCTCCCTCCTCCCCTCCTCCTCCCTCCTCCTACCTCCTCCTACCTCCTCCTCCTCCTCCTCCTGCTCCTCCTCCTCCTCCTCCTCCTCCTCCTCCGGGGAGGCGCCCATCGGTGTTGGATCACCATCGCTTGGTCGGGGTGCCGTCGCTCGCCAGCTCGGCGGCTGCTTCATGCCTGCCGGGTCCTCACCACGCCCGGAGCTCGGCGGAGACTGGCGTCTGTGGCTCGCGTGCGCCCGCGTAGCCGCTGCGACTGCGGCGTCTTCCAGTCAACCCAACCCAACCCTCTGCCTCTTCCCTCCTCCTCATCCTGCTCCTCCTGTCTCCTCCTCATGCGCCTCCCCCCTCGTCCTCCTCGTCCCTCCTAGTCCTCCATCCCTCCTCCCTCCCTCCCCCTTCTTGCCTCCCCCCTCCCGCCCTCTCCCGTGCAGGCTCGTCCGGAAGAACGACCCCGCCGGCGCAGGCCAGGGCGCCCCCCCCCCCCTCCCCCCCTGCCCCCCCCCACTGCTTTCCAGGGCCCCCCCCCGCGGGCTCCGCTCTCCGCCCCTCCTCCTGCTGCCCCTCGTCCGCCTCCTGCTCGGTCGGTCGGTCAAAGCATGACGGCACGACGAGTCGCAGCCGAACACAGCAGCAGGAGCAAGGACAAGAGGGCGGGGGAGGACAGAGAGCGCGGGAGCGCCTCCTCCCGCCTCTCCCCTCGTGTTCCTCCTCCTCCTCCCCCTGCCCCTCCCCTCCTCGTCCTCCCCTCCCGCCCCTGCTCTTCCCCTCCTGTTCCTCCTCCTCCCCATGCCCCTCCCCTTCCCCCTGGGAGACATCGGTGTGCGCCGCCACGCCGCCTGGCCACGGCCATTCTGTGCCCCGGGATGCTGCAATCGCCCTCCCCGGTCTGCAGTGCCATCCTGGGGCGTGGAACGGCCCTGGCGGGGCACGGTGGTGGCGCACCCACGAGCCCTCGGCGCGCCACTATCCCGCCCCCTCCCCCCCCCACGCGGGCGTCGGAATGGCCAGAGAAGGCAGCCGTACATCTGGCGGGCGGCAGGGACGTGCGCGCGCGCCCGCTCCCCGCTCTCGTTCTGCGGCCTGCGCCGGCCGCGACGCCATCCCGCGCCGCGAGGACCTGGCCCCTCGCCCCTCGCCTTAAGTCGGGCCTGTCCCTCCACAGGGAGAATATTCAAAAATTGTTAAATTACCCAGGCGAAGTACCCAACCCCTGCGCAAACGCGGGGCGCAAATAGTTTAGGACACTTTATAAGGGGAGGGGATGACGGAGCGAGGGTTACACATGTCTGCAGACGGAATTCGGGAGATTCGCAGGACACTGGCTACAGGACAAGGACTAGATAAAGCTGATTAGTTACAATCCCTGAGCAACCCAAGCCACTTCGAAAGCGGGGATCTCAGATCGCAGCCCCCCAGGGATGGCGAGGTGTATTTGGGTCCGCGCGTGGCATCACTGTGCTGGGCCCCCCAGCAGGCCTCGAAAGTGGCGACAGTTTCACAGATCGCAGCCCCCCAGGGATGGCGAGGTTTAATTTGGGTCCGCGCGTGGCGTCACTGTGCTGGGCCCCCCAGCAGGCCTCGAAAGTGGCGACAGTTTCACAGATCGCAGCCCCCCAGGGATGGCGAGGTCTAATTTGGGTCCGCGCGTGGCGTCACTGTGCTGGGCCCCCCAGCAGGCCTCGAAAGTGGCGACAGTTTCACAGATCGCAGCCCCCCAGGGATGGCGAGGTCTAATTTGAATCCGCCCGTGGCGTCACTGTGCTGGGCCCCCCAGCAGGCCTCGAAAGTGGCGACAGTTTCACAGATCGCAGCCCCCCAGGGATGGCGAGGTCTAATTTGAATCCGCGTGTGGCGTCACTGTGCTGGGCCCCCCAGCAGGCCTCGAAAGTGGCGACAGTTTCACAGATCGCAGCCCCCCAGGGATGGCGAGGTCTAATTTGAATCCGCGCGTGGCCACTGTGCTGGGCCCCCCAGCAGGCCTCGAAAGTGGCGACAGTTTCACAGATCGCAGCCCCCCAGGGATGGCGAGGTCTAATTTGAATCCGCGTGGCGTCACTGTGCTGGGCCCCCCAGCAGGCCTCGAAAGTGGCGACAGTTTCGCAGATCGCAGCCCCCCAGGGATGGCGAGGTCTAATTTCAATCCGCCCGTGGCGTCACTGTGCTGGGCCCCCAGCAGGCCTCGAAAGTGGCGACAGTTTCACAGATCGCAGCCCCCCAGGGATGGCGAGGTATAATTGGATCCGCCCGTGGCGTCACTGTGCTGGCCCCCCAGCAGGCCTTGAAAGTGGCGACGGTGTCACAGATCGCAGCCCCCCAGGGATGGCGAGGTCTAATTTGAATCCGCCCGTGGCGTCACTGCGATGGGCCCCCCAGAAGGCCTCGAAAGTGGCGACAGTTTCACAGATCGCAGCCCCCTAGGGATGGCGATGTCTAATTTGGGTCCGCCCGTGGCGTCACTGTGCTGGGCCCCCCAGCAGGCCTCGAAAGTGGCGACAGTTTCACAGATCGCAGCCCCCCAGGGATATTTGAATCCGCCCGTGGCGTCACTGTGCTGGGCCCCCCAGAAGGCCCCGAAAGTGGCGACAGTTTCACAGATCGCAGCCCCCCAGGGGTGGCGAGGTCTAATTTGAATCCGCCCGTGGCGTCACTATGTTGGGCCCCCCAGAAGGCCCCGAAAGTGGCGACAGTTTCACAGATCGCAGCCCCCCAGGGATGGCGAGGTCTAATCTGAATCCGCCCGTGGCGTCACTGTGCTGGGCCCCCCAGCAGGCCTCGAAAGTGGCGACAGTTTCACAGATCGCGGCCCCCCAGGGATGGCGAGGTCTAATTTGGGTCCGCCCGTGGCGTCACTGTGCTGGGCCCCCCAGCAGGCCTCGAAAGTGGCGACAGTTTCACAGATCGCAGCCCCCCAGGGATGGCGAGGTCTAATTTGAATCCGCCCGTGGCGTCACTGTGCTGGGCCCCCCAGCATGCTTCGAAAGTAGCGACAGCTTCACAGATCGCAGCCCCCCGCAGGCAAGACAGGAGGAGGCAAGAGGGAGGCGGGACGGGAGGCAGGAGGGAGGAAAGGAGGAAGTGGAGACCACACTGCTCTATTCAAAACGCATACCCTAACAAGGAGGGTAAGGAAAAATAGTCTGGGGACTATTTTTAAATTTTGTTTGTTTTTGTATGTTTAGTGTATTTTCTGGGTATTGCGGATGCCTTACGGCCTGTGCCGCCGACCCTGGAGGCCACGAATATGGAATCGCGGGGGGGTGGAGGAGGAGGAGGAGGAGGAGGAGGAGGAGGAGGAGGAGGAGGAGGAGGTGGAGAGGGAGGAAGGGGGTGGAGGAGGCAGTTGAGGGAGCAGGCGGGGGAGAATGATGAGGAGGAGGAGGAGCATGTGGAGGAGCAAGAGGAGCAGGCACAGGAGGGGCACGAGGAGGGAGAGCAACGGTGGAGGTGGAGGAGGAGGCAGGAAACAATCAAACTCATAACAGAACTTTCGGGGCTCTCCCTGGCCCCCTCCTGGAGCGTCCCCAGGACTCGCCCTGGTACCCCCCTGGGACGCCTCCCCCCCGACCCTGGCGGTGAAGGGATACAGGGAGTTCTCGGGGGGGGGGCCTCTTGGGGGTAGTTCTGGGGCCTCTTGGGAGGCTGTGGCCGCTTGGGAGCCTCGTGGGGGCCTCTT